AGCAGCAGTAATAAGCACAGAGGACAGAGAAGGGAAACGGTGAGCTCCCATAGATGGTTCTCCAACACCCAGCAGCATCCAGCCCTGCCATGGACATCGTGCCCCCAACCTCCCTCCCTTCCACAGGGAGCAGGCCCCTGTGGGGTGCTCACTTGGATGGCTGCAGAGGTACCAGTGGATTCCAAATGCCACTGGAGGCAGCAGGGCACAGCTCCTTGTTGGGCTTGGGCACCTGCGGTTTGAAGAGATGCCCATACCCAGCTCTGCTCCACTTCAGACCACACCAGCTGGTTAATTTTGACATGTATTTTACAAAAACAAATAAAAGAGAGCCACCAGGCAGTTATACCAACTTACAATTTATTATTTTTTTTTAAAAATGACATGAAACACAAGTAAAAATAAATACATCATATAAACAACAAATTGTTCAAAGTCTCTGTTCTGGGAGATCAGGCGAAGTGCATCCCGTTCAACACAGAGAAGAGGGAAGCACACGATCATGCGTGGGGCCATCCGACCAACCCACCCTGCTAGCGAGACTCCTCTTTCCAACCACAAAAAGACAGGCCACAAACTAAGGCGGTAGTGAAAAATAACAGAAAAAAACAGAAAAAGAACCCCAAACCACCAGAAAACCCCAGATGAGACTCAGCGATGGATTCCTTCAGGCTCCCTGGGTCTGCCAGAGACTGCAGCTCCGAGCCCGGTGCCACAAGCAGCCCTGTGGTCTGGGAGGCGGCAGGTTGCTCTTCCTCCCTTCCACCGTGTCCCCTTGAAGGGAGCACTTGCTCTGAGTCACAAGGAGCCATCACCTCACTGTATCCTAACTGGACTATGTTCCCCTCTTAACTTCTGCCCCCCGCCCCAGCCCTCCCACCCCGGTCCTTCCAAGACTGGATTAACAAAGTTCACTGCAGTGTGGCGAGAAACACCGGCCATGAAGGTATTTGCTGAACTTGTCCCTGTTGGCCTGGAAACCACCCACAAACCAACAGCAATTCTCTTGCATTCACCAATTTGCTGACATCATTAAGCCAAAGTATGAAGTGAAGCCCCCATGGAAATCCCATCCTTTGCTTGCTGGAATATCGGCTTTCTGTGAGTACCTGCATCCACCCCACCCAGGCACCCCAGTGCCGTCAGTGTGCAGCAGATCCTGCCCCATCCATGGGCCAGGCTGGGCTGTGTTGCCCCCTCCCCACAAACCTTCCCAATACCCCAAGGTCTACACCGTTAGGAAGCAACAAGAACATCAAGACTGAGGTACAGCCGCAATCCCTCTCCTTGCCCGGGGCATTATGTCCTGCAGCGGTACCCAGCGTTCATCCACTGTGCCCAGGAGTGGAATCCTCCCACCTTAAGAGGAGGGCTGAGGGCTGGGTGCCAATGTGGGGGGCAGCTGGACACCCCCACAGCCCTGTGCTCAGAGATCTTCTTTAGTGTCCAAACCCCTCAGCAGAGTCCTGCACTGCTGCCCTCAGCGTCACCCAAAGCCCTGCCACCAACCGGCAGCTGCTTCCATCCGGTCATTGGGGGACAGAAACTCGGCAGCAAAAGTTAACCTGTGCAGGGATAGCCTCTGTTCTGGGCTCAGGGAAACCCAGACAGAACCCCCTGCAGCACAACCACGTGCTGAAAAGGAGTAAGATCTGGGGAGGGCAGATGAGAGGGAGAAATCCCATGGGAGAGGGGTTTTAGGGCTCAGCGAGGTCCCCCCACTTGGAAAGCCCCATCATAACCCGCACACCCTCATGGCATTTGTGGGGTGGAGGAAATCCTTCCCACCGTGCTGCAGGTGCCTCCGGTTGCCTTGGAGCACCCCCAGCTGCTGCCAGCCCCCAGCCAGGGTATCACTGTTACCTCTGTGACCACCTCCCAGACAAGGCTCTGAGGGGCTGCGCGGGGCTGGTGAGGGGAACAGAGGTGCTGCATGGCCCCACCGTGCTCGGGATAGGTGGCTGGGGCTCTAACTTGGGTGCTTGCTGCGCAGGGTAACCATGCTGTGGCTGTCTCAAGCTACAGATGTATCCCAGCACAAGGAAGCCCCTCGCAGCTGGTTGCATCGGGGGACAGACACGGCACGGAAGGGCAATGAGGGGTCTTTAAACTGCCATGGCCACGCAGGAGCCAGGAGAGCCCTTGCACTTCACCCTGGTGAACTGCCAGCCCATTGCACAAGCATGCATGGAGTGGGCTGCCCAGGGAGGTTGTGAATGCTCCATCCCTGGCAGTGTTCAGGGCCAGGTTGGAGGAGGCCTTGGGTGAGATGGTTTAGTGTGAGGTGTCCCTGCCCATGGCAGGGGGGTTGGAACTTGGTGATCTTAAGGTCCTTTCCAACCCTAACGATTCTCTGATTCTATGACTCTATGCACCCTGCAGCAGCCGAGTGCTGGCCACCGACAGAGGAACCCCTGGAGATCAGACAGCAGCATGGGATGCACCAGGGCCCACTGAGGAAGCCCCGGGTGCTCTCCTGGAGAGACAAGGAGCAAAGAAAACAGCACAGGCACAGGTACCACATCCAGAGCCGCAGGGCCAACTGCCCCTGCTGCAGCTTTATGCCTTGTCCCAGCACAGAGCCACAGAGGACTTGGGAGGGTCCCTCGGATGAATCCCACTGCCCTGACTGCCACCCATGAGGACAGGGGCTGCAGCAGGGCCCTGGCGAGGGGCTGCTCCCACTCCGGCCTCCCGCATGCACCCGCAGGTCTCAACACTTGCTACTCTCGACAAGGAAAGCCCTTGCCTAGGTCCATTCCCCAAATCCACCGGCAAACTGACAGCCTCACAGGAATGCAACGGACATCTGGGCAAGCTCGTCATACAATCAGTGTCACAGGGTTGTGCATGAGGTGGACACACAGAGCACAGGAGGGCACGACTCACAGATGCAGCACTGTCAAGTCTTTGGAGAAACTTGCATGAACACCATCAGTTAATTTGCTTTGTTACTTTTGTGGGGGGGTTTGATTTTTATTTCCATGGTGCATCCAAAGACAAGTTGTCCAGCAGTTTGCTCAGAACCCCTCGGTTTTCAACTCCTAGGATATGTTAAAGAAGAAAGCACTATTTTAATGTTTGTTTTCTTTTCAAAAAATAATTAAAATAATTTGCATAGCTAAACTGTTGATCTAAGGCTTCTATGAATGGTGTGGTTACGTTTGACAGACAATGTCCATTGAACAGAGAAAGACACTAGGAAAGCCCCATAACATCTTTTATTATGATTTTGTAATGCACGTGTGCACACACCCCCCTCTCTCTCACTCAGGAAGTGAGGTCCCAATCTTCCATCGCCCCTTTGATGGAGGATGTCAGGACATCCTGCCCTTTCCTACTCCTAGTTTGTCCCAGCAAACACCAGTGACTGCAGCTTCCACAGCTCAAGAGGTCCCCTACAAGCTACCAGTGCTCTAAGGTCCCAGGAACATCCCACGTAAGGAAGGGACCACATCTGCCTGGTAACGTACAGACGCAACACAGAGATTCCTGGATTCCAAGTCTCCATCCTAACATGTTCACACAGTCACACACACCAAGGCCAGCTGCAGTTGGGTAGCCCAGCCTCTCCTTAGGAGCCCTGCACCAAGGTAAGCAGCCAGAATGTTTGCTGTCAGGGCTAGGGCCAGCCTCTGCTCCCATGTGCAGAGCAGGTCTGAGCCAAGCACAGCAGCTCTGCCTTCCTAACTCCACATGCCCCACAGCCCTCCTCCTCACTGGGAATGAGCATGGGAGGCTTTCCAGCCTTTCTACTTGCCCCAACACAACAAGAGGACTCCATTCTCTTTCCAGCTGCTGCAGAACACGCAGAGCAGCTCCTCCCTGCTCTGACATGATCCCCTGATGGGCACATCCAGCCAACATGACACGGCTCAGAAACAGGCAACCTCCGCAGCTGGCCCCGCTTCTAGGCTATGCTTTGGTCAACCAGCTGCTTCTCCCCACACAGACAACCCAACAAGCAACCACTGCGTGATGGAGGCCAGCATTTTATTTTTTAACATGGAAATGAATTTAAAAGTAGAAAGAAAGACTCCTCCAAACAATAAATACTACGCCTTCAAGAAATAAATTAATGAAGAGATTCTGTGCAGGGGGAAGTTGCTCCAATCACAGATTCAACAGCAACCAGCACTGGGTCCAGTGTGTGTGTGTGTCCCCAACCTTTTCCCTTGCCTTGAACTGTTCAGAAGCAGCAGGGAGCCCACCTCCTGTGGTGGGCCACAGCTGGGTGAGACATGGCCATGGAAAAGCCACAGAACCAGGGAAGTCGCCAGGATTCCCCTCTGATGGCCACTGAGACATCTGGGATTGCTCCACTCATCTGGCACACAGAGCTGGCATCAGAACCACAGGACCAACCTACCTTGGATGGGACCCTCCCGAAGGGTCCAGGGGAGCCCCCACCAGAGCCCTGCCCTCACCACTGCAGCAGGGGCTGCCGGGAGCCCTCACACTAGCTCCATGCAGATTTGAAGAGGATCACAAATTGTTTGTGGGGTGTTTTGTTTCTTTTTTTCTCTTCTTTTTCTTACATCAATCCCACCCCCTATACATGATGTAGAAGCCCCCCCCACACTCCCTCCCCAGTAAAAATACTTCTTCCCCAACCTCTGCTGGAGTCACCCCCCCACCCCCAGCCCACACCTCCAGGAGTGAGAGAAGTTCACAGATAAGGCAGTTCGTGTGAAAGGGAGCTCGGCCCTGCCAGTGGTCAAGCCTGTGCCTCCAGGCCTGAGAAGGGCTTTGACTTGCAGCACCAAGCCTCCCCCTTCCAGACAAGACAGAGAACAGTGACAGACAGACAGACAGAGCATGGGAGGGAGGCACTCCTATGGTTTGCATTGCTGCTCCCCTCCTCCCCTGGCTCTTGCTCCCCTCGGCCCCAAGGCCCTCACGGGTCCACTCTATCCTCCCATCTCCCAGCCCCTAATACAGTTCAGATCCTTGACAGCTAAAACAACAACGAAATAAAACGAAAAGAACAAAACCACCCTTCGCATCTTTCTCCACCTGCTGCAGTGGCCCAGAGGGGAAATCCTGACTCCCAAAAAGGTCCTGCAACTTTTGCCTCCTGGTAGAGCTGAGACCGAGCAGGAGCCGGGCCCATTATTTCCCTGTGATCTCTATAACATCGTCGTCTTTGTCCTCGTCATTAGAGCTGCATCCCACCTCTGGGACCTCCTGGGTTTCAAACTGAGGCACCTGGGACCGAAGGAGGCCCCCAGCCGGGTAGCCCGAGTGAGGGGACATGTAGCCAGGGTAGGCAGATGCCATGCTCCTGGGAAGGCTGCTAGGCAAGACGGGGGCTGGGAAAGGAGCAAACATCCTGGGCTCGGGCAGGAGTGACTGCGTGAAGGGAAGCGAGTAATTGGGCAGCACCCCTGTCAGAGAAGGGTTTAGCATGAATGAGGGGACGCTGGCGGTGACTGAGGTAGCAGCAGAAGAGCTGGCGGTGCCGGCTGTCAGCAGAGGGTCAGTAGTCACAGGGAACACCAGATGAGGGTCTGGGAGTAAATTGGGCAGCTGGTAATAAGAGGAGCCAGTGCCCATGTATAAGGAGTTTCCTGGTTGGGAGGCAAATGGATGGGTTAGGTTGTGGTTTAAAGAGACAGGAGGCATGGTGAACCCACCAGAGACGGGGTACCCGTGTTCGTACGGCTGCACGGACGATGGCAACTGCCGCTTCTTCTGCTGCCTGCGGGCTTGCTCCTCTGGAGCCGACGGTGAGGTTGACTTGCGCTTGTTGCCCCGTAAGTCCAACACTGAGTGGGCATCCACGTGCTGGCTGGTGGCTGGCAGGGCTGAAGACACGGAGGGAGCCATGCAGTGAATCCCCACATGCTGCTCAGCTCCTCGGGCTGCTAAGCCGGGCGCGTTGTCCATGCGGGCAGGGAGGCCTTGTGCTGCGTTGGTGCTGGGAGAGCTGTGCCGGGACTCCCGGGCAGCCGCTGCCTCCGCGTACTGCTGCAGCTCGCTGATGATCTCGGGGCTGTCAGGGGATATGGGCCGAGTGAGCTCCTCTGCACTGGGGAGCTGCGGTGACGAGGCACTGTGTCTGCCATTGCTTGTGGACTCCAGTGACGAGCTCTGGGAGCCTGGAAACAAAGAGACGGAGGAGGTGAGAAAGACGACCCTGGAGAAAAACCTGGGCGCAGAGAGGCAACGGCAGAAAGGAAGGTGGGGATGATCACAGGGAGACTGTGGGGCCGCCTCTGAACACAGGCATGATGGAACATGGCCAAGGAACACCACCCCAGACACTCAGGTAGGGAAGCATGTGAGTAAGCCCCACACAGCGCTCACGAGCCCCTACCTGAGGCAGCTGTTCGACGGTCTTCGTTGCCCTTTGGCTTCCCAGTGGTCCGGATAGCAAAAATCCGCCCATCACTGGTCCGGATATACGTCCCTGGAACAGAGGCAGAACAACTTCATTCATCCTGAATCCATGAGCCTGTGAGACTGCCGGGACAGGAGTAGGACAGCAGTGCTGCATAAGGCCAGCCCACAGATCATGCAGGGAGGTCAGTGAGGGGTTTCTGCCCCCTTCCTCATTCATCACTTCCACTTTCAGCTTTCCTGTGTTGGAGCTCCTCCTCCCAATGTGCTGTGGGAGAGAAATGTGGAACTTCATGCTTGAGACTAAGTTTGCTCTGGGAGCACCAGGAAGTGTTTCACTGCCACAGTATACGCAGTATGTGTTGTGAAAATGAGACGCCAAGTCACAAAGTTCAACAGCTCCTCTCAAAGGCATGAGCAGCCACTGTTGCAACAGTCCTGACACATCAGCTATGGTAGCACACCCAAAGCATGGGCTGCAAGCAAGCCACTGAAAGTCTAGATCTCCCCCTCTTCTTGTTACTTTTCCTCTCAAGGGACTGATTCATGCTTTTACATCCTTGTCTTTGCTAATTAGCATTGGCTAGGACCCTATCCACAAGTCTTACCAAGACAGAGACTTACCTTTTGTCCCTCGGATGATGTGGATGCTCTCTCCAGCACTGATTCTTGCCTGTACATCAGTGGATGTGTTCGTACCAGGAATCACAATATCTGGCAGTGGGGAAGGAACAGAACAGTGCCCATGAAATCACATACCAGGCACAGTCAGGAGTGGGGAGGTGTACCACCAAACCCCTCAGCTTCAATACAGCTGTTTCTTCTATATGTGCTGCTAGAAGCAAGCCCTGGGTTGATTTCTGAGCAGCATCAGAAGGGAGCAGAGGCTCCAAGGAAGCAAAAGCCATGCTGCCCTGGCACAGCATCTCCCCTGTTCCAACAAGGACTATTGGTGATGGTACTTAAGGCCCTCTGATGGGAAATTCACTCTAAACAACCCACTAGGCCCATCCCCTTTGGACACCTGCAGGGAAAGTCCCCCAGGTACAGAGGAACCACTCAAATGCAGAGGTCGTATCAGTGGTTCTGATGGCCATCTGCCTACAGCCCATGAGGGCATCAGCAACTCACCCTACCCCTCAATTCACCATGGGCATCACAACTCAACTCGCTGTGAACATCAGCCACTAACCTGTGGTGGTGACAATCTTCTGCACAAAGACACCAGCTCGCTGTAGATAGTTGATGGGAAAGTTGACAGCAGGGTTGGAACTTGAGGTTGATCCTGCATTGCCTATGGGGACATGTCGAGGCATCATAGGAATGGGAGTGGATTGAACTGGGCGGACACTTGCCACTGGCTTGTCCTCACCCTTTAGGGCTGGTCGCCTAGTGAGAGAAGAAGGAGGAAAGTTCAGTGCCCCAACTGACAGGGATAAGCATCCTCTGCCTCTTCATTTCATGTCTACAGCACAGGAAGAAAAGGAAGAGGCAGGTACTCACCAATTCCTCTGGCTAAAGGCAGGGATGCTTGTCAGGCTCTGATCACTGGCTGGGTAATACTGTGCGTAGGACGGCCGGGTATAGGGGACGGATGCTCGCTTTTCCTCCTCGTAGCTCTTCTTGGCTGCTTTCTTCTCTGCCTTGGTCAGCTTGTGCTCCTTCCGGTCGATCAGCAGTGACTCATGCTGAAAAGGCTCCTGCAACCCCACAGCACCGGGGTTTTGACACCAATACACCACAAGAGGGAACCAACATGCCTCAAATGGCAGCCACCCCGTTCCTGCATCAGCACGGCTCCATCCCAGGCAGGAGCAGTGGAGACGGGAGCTGGAGGCAGAGCTGGGCACGGCAAAGCATGCGTGGGGCAATGCTTGGATGTGACCAAAGCTCAGCTTGAAGAGTGAGACAGACAGCTAAGCCATCACTAAGCCTGCCCAGCCAAGGTCATTGCTTACCATGAGCACACAGTAAAACCCACAAGCCAAAGGCCAGGCTGAGCACAAGCACAGAGACTACCAAGACACTAGCCACTAGAGCCCCATGGCACTCAGTCACAGGCCCACTCTGCAGCACCACCCTGTCAGGGGAACTCTTGACAACACAGGCAAGTGCTGGCTGTCACAGCTTTGTTTTAAAGCCACACCAGGGAGAGAGGTGGCAGCAAGCTGGGACATGCCACTGCCACCTTCCCACCCAGCACCGAGTTGCCCTACACTCGGCACCCAAACCTAATCAGGACAGAGGTGGCTCTAAATGTGCAGAAGATATTGCAAGGCTCTTAGGGCTCTCTGTAGAGGATTTTTTACCTATTTGCACCAGCACACACATACTCCTGGCCACCATGTCATCATCACCCAGTCAGACTCCTTTAGACCTACTGCCTGTGCCAGCAGGCTGATCTTACCTTGGTGATGAGGTGAGGATACTTGAGACAGGCTAATTGTAGAACAGACTCCTTTATCTTGCTTGGATTGAGGGAGAGCTGAGCAGGGTCAGATTCCTCTTCCACAAAATGCAGCAGGTTCTCCACCTCTCGCCGAGTAAAGTTCAACACTGGGTTCAGATCATCCACCACCCGATCTGGAAAAGGGAGCGGAGTGAGCAGAGAAGGGAAGTGATAGGTAGTGCTGCCCTTCCTACACCCCTGCCCTAATAGAGCTCCCTCACTGCCATCTGCAGCATCCTCAGAAGCCTTCTGCAAATGTCAGGGCAGGAGGAAAAATCATCAGCCACATTCATAGATAAGCCTGCTTGACTAAATCAGGCTGACAAATGCCTTGTCCTCCACACTGCACAGCAATGCAATCACTGGGCTACTGGCATACACAAACATGAAGCTAATTACAGATGATGTCCCATCTCACATCACAAAATGGAAAATATACAAGCCCTGAGACAGAACTGCAGCTATGTCAGCATGTGCCCTCCCAGAATTCCCACTAAAAAAGCTCAAGTTAATAACCAGGAACTGAAATTTTTATAACTCTGTTGAAAGTTCAGAAATACAGCAATGGTCCATCGCCCACAAGAGCCTAAAGTTTTCTTTGGACATTCGTTCCTGCACACAGGGCAAATGGGAGCACATGGAGAAAACATTCATAGCCAGGACTCTCCTGGGAGCCAGGCCAGCTGCCAGGGGTCTCCACCTCAAGTGCAAGACAGCATACTGATCATGCTGGGCTGCTGTCTCTGGAGTTAGATTTGGAGACAAAGAAGGACATGGGCAGCAGAACTGTTTCTGGGTCACTCCAACCCTCAGCTGCCTGCTTTATGACAGCAGCTTGACAGCTGGCACAAGCCAACACAAAAGGTATTTCTGGTACAAGCGCAGGTCAGAACTGGAATGAATTCATTATTCTTGGCCCTTAAGTAAGCACTATCAGTCAAAGGTATCAATATGTATTTTAATTTCACTATTTCCCCCTCTTGCTGCTGGAGAAATTGAAGCACAGAGCTATTTAATGAATAATGTCCAGTTTAAGACAGGTTGTGCACACCCCCCCTGCAGGATGCTGGCTCTACAACCCCTACTGCTCTGCCATGAATTGCTTATAGGATGTCACGTCACTTTCGACTCATAAATGTCAAACAAAGCCCTAGGATAGTATCTCTGTCACTTCTTTGGCTGTTTCTCAACCTTATGAAACCAGAGGTTAGGAAAACCACAGAAATGGAACTTAAAGGATCTAAAAAGACTGAAAACTAAAGAGTGGAGTGCCATGTCCCTCAACATTACCTGACATGCCCTGCTTGGAGATCTGACGGTCATAGATCTTCTTCTCCAGAGTGTAATCAGAAACCAGTCTGTAAATGTGGCATGGCTTCTTCTGCCCATAGCGGTACACTCGGCACACGGCCTGGGCGTCATGGCATGGGTTCCAAGAAGCATCAAACACCACCACTCTGTTTGCTCCAATGAGGTTAACACCCAAACACCCAGCACTGGAAATGAAAGGCAAATTTCAAACTGCTGCCTCGGCCAATTTTCAAAGCTTCTAGGCAGGGACAATCATAACAGCCAAGAGTCCATGAAACACCTATGGAACATTCCCTCCAACCATGCAGGTAACTTCAAACCCATGTTTGGTTTCCAAGACTGCTGTTAAGTGTTGCAGAGGACTAAGGCTAAAATTCTACACCCCTAGGGAATTCAGAAGCAGATGGCACTATCATCCCATAGAGTCCTGAGACCATGTTATGAAGAAAGTTAAGAACTGAAACCTCATAAGCATACAGAGCATCAGTGCGCGAGTTCTCCACACTGGCTTTCTGCTCCAGCCAACTTACCGTGTGGACAAAAGAAAGAGCCAAACAGAGGTGTTGCTGAGATCATTAAACTGGTTAATCAGTCGTTCCCTTTCTGAGGCAGAGGTGCTGCCATCCAGTCCTGAGGAGGAAATTAAAGACACATTTCAAAGCTCTGCATGTCTGGGGGAATCCCATCAGGACAAACCCACTTCTCAAACACTGAGCTTTGTAACTTGCTCAGAACCAATTACAAGTCTTCCTCAAGTCATGCACTCCTGGACCTCAGCTGGGCCACTCTGTACCTCTAATTTGCCCAATCAGGCAGGTGCAATACAGTCAGCCAGGCTGGGATTTGTTCAACTGAAAGATCAAGTGAAACATTACTCAAGCTTGCCAAGTCCAGGACTGGGAGAGCTACAAAACACCTAGCCCATTAAGGTTCTGTATTAGGCAAGATGGACAGCAAGCAAGAACAGCAGGAACAAGAGAAAGCAAAATAATGAAAGCCTTTGGCAAACCCCCAAAGACTGGATTTGAGCACAGAGAGTACTGGTCTAAAGGAGTGCAGGGGGGTATCATCTCTGTTCCTGGGCAGCAGCTTACTTCTGGCAGCTCTGCAAAAATCAGAACACCATATTCACTGCTCCTCTCAGTCCTGGCTTGTAACGTAGCCACACAAAACAACCGCCCATGCCAGGACAAGATTTAAAGCTGGGGAAGAAGGGAGGAGGAATTCACAGCCCTGAGCTAGTGAAAGCGTTCCACGGTGATTCTGGCTTGGGAAGCAAGATCTAGAAGATAGCCATATAGGAAATAAAAAGTATCTTTTGCAACTTAAAAAAGCACTAGTAGGTGAGTTGCTAAATATGTCTAACATCTTCTAAACAAGATGTTGAAAAGAGGATTTAGAAATTATCAGTTATTTGCTATCTAACTGACTGTCTTCTCAAGCACCTAAAGTAGGAAATCTGAAAGAAACTTCATCAGAAAAATGCTTCAAAAGAGCATTTTCATGCACAGGGACAATTACAAGTTGGAAGGTGACTTTCAGGAATTAGTCCATCACAGAGGATCAAACGTCACCCCGAAAGAGAGGAGGATTGGTTGCACTCACTGTAATAGTTGATGTTTCGGACCCAGTTGTGAACTCCTCCATCTGAGCCTGGAGGACTCGGCATTGGTCTCTTTGCCAAAAACTCTTCAATGACAGATAAGGTAGACAAGCTCTGGCTGCAAAATCAAGATCTCTGTTCAGGAGAAAGCCCCACAGCAGCAAAGGTGGAGAATCAGAACTCTTTCCCAACCATTCCAGCACTGGTGGTTGTCAAACCCCATTTGCAGCAGCACACCTCTCAGTAATAAATGATAGTGGCAGATGTATAAAATCCATGGAGGAAAAACAGGATTTAATACAACAAAGGAGAAAAGGGGAACTGCCACACTACTCCCCTTGTGTAACAACCTCCTAGTACCAGGAGGGGTCCAACTGCTCCAGCATTTAGTGACTCTAGGATCAGTGGTTGAAACTTTGCTTACCTGAAGACCAAGATCTTGTCTCCAAGCTTCACACTTTCTTCAATTAGGTGGAAGAGTAACACCATCTTAGGTGAGTTCTCCAAGACTCCCGTCTGGTAATCACACAAGATGTCTTTGGCCTACCAAGAAACAGGAGACTATTACAGGTGGAGTTGCTCATTCTCTGTTCAGTTCAACAGTGAATGTTGGTGAGAGAAATAAGTCATTGCAGAGAGGTTACAGACATTCAGTTGGTTCAAGTGACAATGTTCCTCCCAACTACTGCTGCCTACTTCACATTCCAGAAGCTCCAGATGACAGCCTTCTTGGAGTATGGACGAATGAGCATCCTCTTAACCTTTCATGACTCTTTATCCCAAGACCTCTCCTTCAGCCCACTAAATTTACCACCATCTTATCTAGATTAAACTTTACCCTAACACCTTTTTCAAACAACGAAGTCCACACCCTTTTTGGTCAGATGAAATCAATGGTATAGAAGAGTGCTGCCTGCACTCCAGCCTCAGGAGAGTCCCCCAGACCCCACCGTAACACCTTGCAGACATGCTTAGCAAGATGCCATGTGGTAAAGAAAAGAGAAACTCCCAACTCTTAAAGAGAAGAGTCCTTTCTTTGTCCTACTTCTGAAAAATGCCTTAACAAAAAGAGGTACAGTCTTCCAAAGTATCTAACTGATGTTTATCATAACACTCCAAATGAAGAGTTTTCTACCACTGGTACTCACCCACTCGTAAGTAACGACCTGATTTGCTCTCTCCTGAAAAGGGTTGAAGCCAACGCTCTGGAGGAACTTGCTGTTGGTAGCTTCTCCAGCTGGTGATGCCAAAGCATTACTCTCTGTTTTGACTTTAATTCCCTGAGGCTGGCAGCGGGAATTAGTACTTGCTGTGCCAAGGTCATCCACATCTAAATCCTGCTCGTTTGCCAGATTTTGCTTTTGCAGAGCTTCATACAACACATCTGGATGGTTCCAGATCTGAAGGGGTAACAAAAGAAAGTGGTTAGGCCTGCGTTGGCCTGCTGCTTGCCCATGATTGTGGACTGAAAACTCCCACAGCTATTCAAAGGAAAGAAGTAATAGTTCAATCATCTCACCATCCCCACATGGAACTGCAAGGCACTGCAAAGAAAACAAGTCTGACTGCATTAAGGTACTGAAAACAGGAAACATGACTCTGCCACAACACAAGGTATAAACCATCTTAACTCAGGCTATCCCAACTTTAAAACTGCTCAATTCTTTCCTTGAGAACAAACCAAAAGGCCACTGTGCATCCCACACAGCACAAACACAGAGGAAGCTGCTTGTTTGCACTGCAGCAGGTAAATAGATAAGGTACCGGCTGATGGCTGCAAGTTTCTTACACAAATATGAAAAAGACATTTAACATCCCTGCACCCCAGTTCTGAAAGTGGGGATAACAATTCTGCTAGGCCACTGCAGGGCACTCTGGGGAGAGAAGATGGGCCTGGTCAATCACATTTCGAGCTCCTGTTTTGACTCCTATTCTTGGCTTTCCCTTACATCCCAGAATATTTCTTTATATCTCCTGCCAAAACCTACCTTACAACAGACGCAGAAAGCTTTCAGTGGGTTGAGTCCCAGCCAGCCACTGTTGCCTGCATCTCGGAACCGGTTCATGAACTCCGTATAAAGGGCCCGCTGGATCTTTGACAGACGTACCAAAATGACATGTTCTTCCTTAGATGGGAGCTGAACCTTCAGCACACTGTGGCCTCGCCTGTGGAGGAAATAAAGAGAGAGATTAATAGAGGGAAGGGAATTTCCCAATCTGATCTCTCTGTGGGTGCCTGTAGGGTAAGATTTTGACTTCTTGCCCACCTGGCTGCAGGGAAAAAGACCTCTAGTTGTATGCTTCTCTAATGCACAACACTTCCAAGATACTCCCCCTGCAGCCAAAACCAACTGTAAGCACAATTACAGAGATATCAAATGTTATAATCATAGAATCATAGAATCGTTAGGGTTGGAAAGGACCTGAAGATCATCCAGTTCCAACCCCCCGGCCATGGGCAGGGACACCTTACGCTAAATCATATCACCCAAGGCCTCGTCCAACCTGGCCTTGAACACTGCCAGGGATGGAGCATTCACAACCTCCCTGGGCAACCTATTCCAGTGCCTCACCACTGGAATAATCTTCTAGCACAGGTCATGGGGTTAAGAGGGTGATGAAGTTCTGCTTTCCATGATCTCTTTTTAGGTCTGCCAATGACTAAAATCTCCATCCAAATCACTGGTCCAGCATCTTAGAACCCTCACCTGAGAAACAAAGCTGATTTGTTTCCAGAGCAGTGGAGTCACTGTCACTTTTCATGACTGAAGGTTCATGAAACACTTTCAGATCCTTGGGTAAAGGATGTCAAGAACTGAATATTGAAATTAACTATTAAGACATCAAAATAAAACTGAAATCACTCGTGCAGTTAGGGATATTGTTCTCCATTGTCAGAGACTGTGGTACCAAAGCAAACCAACTTTACTTTTACCCACAAGGCAAAACAGAGCCATAAGGACCACTTTACAGTCGACAGATTGAACAAGACAGAGATTCTGAGGTAAATATGGAGCTGCTAACCCAAGAACGTCCTCTGTATGCTTAAGATCCTCCCACAAACACAGTTAAGGTACCTGTTTAAAACTCAAGCCTAAGAAGCTGGATCGATGGGCTAAGCTCAATTGCATGAGGGTCAACAAGGCTCAGTGCTCTGTCCTGCTCTTGAGTCACAACAACCCCATGCACCACTACAGACTTGGGGCAGAGTGGCTTGAAAGCTCCCCAGAGGAAGAGGACGTGGGGGTCTTGGCCAACAGCCAGTTGAATACCCTAGCTTGTATCAGCAATAGTGTGGCCAGCAGGACCAATGCAGTGATCATCCCCCTGTACTTGGCGCTGGTGAGGCCACACCTTGAACCTTGTGTTCTGTTCTGGACCCCTCACTGCAAAGAGACACAGGTGCTGGAGTGGGTCCAAAGAACAGCAACAAAGTTGGTGAAGGATCTAGAGCACAAGTTGTATGAGAAGCAGCTGAATGAACTGGGGCTGTTTAGACTGGAGAAAAGAAGGCTCAGGGGAAAGCTTATTGCTCTCCACAACTACCTGGACAGAGGCTGTGATGAGGTGGCTGTTGGTCTCTTTCCCCAGGTAACAAGTAACAGGACAAGAGAAAAGGGCCTCAAGCTGTGCCAGGAGAGGTTTAGGTTGGGTATTAGAAAAAATTTCTTCACCGACAGGGTTGTCAAGCATTGGAACAGGCTGCCCAGGGAAGTGATTCAGTCACTATCCCCAGAGGTATCCAAAATATGTGTAGATGTGGCATTTAAGGGCATGGTTTATGGTAGACTTGGTAGTGTTAGGTTAACAGCTGAACTCCATGATCTTAAGGGTCTTTTCCAGCCTAAATGATTCTATGATTCCATAAGGCAGTTAAGATCAGCCGTACTGCAATAAACTCAGCAAACAAGCAGGCTAATTTGGGATGAATGAACTCTTTGCATGGACTACCATCAAGAACTCCTTGTGGACTCACCGCTGCACAAAGCCTTCCAGCAGGCTATGCAGGACATGACTGCGATACCTCATGAGACGGACGTCTTGAGGGGTGCTGTCAATACACTGCCCATTCAGAATAGGGCGCTCAAACATGTTGCTGAATTCCTGACGAGAGCCTAGAAAGTCAGGTCGGACAAAGTCTACCATGCACCAATACTCAATGAGGTTGTTCTGGAGCGGGTAGCCAGTCAGCACGACCCGCCGGCGGGAGCGGATGTTCTTCAGGGCCTGCGAAGTGCTGGCATGGCAGTTCTTTATCCGGTGTCCCTCATCACAAATAACCACATCTGGGCCAGGGCGAGACAAAGCTTTCTCAATCCCTGAGGACAAGGAAAATTAAGTCTTAGTTAGAGTTGAGTAAGACAAAGTTCTGGTTTTGTATGGTCACCAACTTGACAAAGGGAAAAAGAAGGGCAGTTCTGAAAAAGAGTGGTACTCATGAGTGACAGAAAGCAAGGCTGATTCAGGAGATAAAATGTGACTAGCTCCAATTTAGCATAATGTCGTAATGACCAGACATAACTGTGCCTTGATTTCTGCTCAATGACCTGCACTCTATCAATTTAGGTTTCTTGCAGCAGATCAGACTGGCAAATCTCACACAGACAGATCCCCAAGTTCAGACTTCTATACTTACTTGCAGCTATTGCAAGAAACAAAAGACTAAACCAAAGCTCAACAACGTTCTGGCTCAAAAGACACGATCCTGCCCAGCAGAATTTGATTGTGTCAGGGATGCTAGAAGTAAGTTATAGGTTGTTTCCCTGTGCTGCCAGAGCTGATAGCTGGACAACAGGATCACACTCTTTATGTCTCTCAAGACCTGGCCTCCCACCTTTCAGAAGCTCTTGCTGCCTGTCTTCTTCATCCAAGTCAATAATGACAGGGCCAGCTTGTTTCTTTGTTTTCTTCTTCCTGCCAGTGGCAAAGGATTTCTTCAATGAGAGAAGACGGTACATCTCATATCCCATCAGCAGCACACCACCTTCTGTCACCCAGTCATTCACCACCTTTGCACGTGCAGCTGTTGTCCTGCAAAACAAACCAATCAGCCAAAGAAGCTGTAAGCGTTCTCTCCAGTTTCAGTTTGAATCACTGGATTGGAGTCTGCCAGGAGAAAAAGAAACCTGTTCAATTAATTAAAGCACTTTCTCACATCAAACCAGACAGAGGAATACAATGAAGTTTCTTCAGGACACAATTTGGTAGAGAGGAAAAGAAAAGTTGTCTCTTACGTGCCACAGTAGCAGGTTGAGAATGACAAATCCTGACAGGAACTGAGCTGGAGAAGTTTGTCATGTACAAAAGCATATCAAACTTGAGAGCACCTTTTTAAAGAGCTGTTAAGGAGATGACCTCTGCAAAAAACATTTTCACTGACGTACATGGTTGTAATTGTCTAGTTGTTTATCCCACCTTGTCGTCTCTTCCAATGCTAGTGTCCCTCAATTATTCCTTCTCTGCCAGTCTGCTCAGAATTGGTTCAAATCAAGACACTGTCCTCACTCAATCCTCCCAGAGCACACCAGATCCTATCCAATAGTAAACATATGGTTGAAGTAGCATCAGCAGATTCAAAGTACAGTTCCACCCAGAAGGTGAAGATCTCAGCAGATAAGTGTACGAACATATGTGATAAACTGAGAGTTCCTCCTTAGGATCACTACATTGTCCTGAGCCATGCAAGACAAATGACCAGAAAGGAAGCAGAGACCCATGAGCCAAGAATATACTTCAGACCAGGCTGTAACTGCAATCACTAATCTCTGCTTTCTGGACAAGGAGGCTTTGTATAACTTGCCAGAATCCCTCAAGGACAATAGAATTCACAGAAAGTCACAGTGTCGGGTAGAGAAATCCCAGTGTGTGTGAAAAATCTCATGAAAAAACAACCCACATTTAAAATGAGAGACATGTGGTAGAGGGAGCACATGCCTCAGGAATCCCAAGATTCTGACAGAACTAGTAGTGCACCACCAGAAACAAACCATAGCACTTCTGCACCTCTCTGCAGAAACAGCTCTGTCTCTGGAACTGGGTTCCTGATCTCAGCATATATAGAAGAACAGTGTGAGAAGGAAGTACAAGACATAAACACTGAATGAATGGCAGGTATTCTTTCCCAGGTACCAAAATCCTCCCTTCAAAGACAGTATCCACAACAAATGCAGAGTGGGAAAGAGCTGGGAGTCAACAGTACAGAATTAGCCCAAACTAAACAGTCTGCAACAGCAATACTTATAACAGTTCCATAAGATGCAATTCAAGGGCTCAAAAGGGCTTTTAGTGGCACCTACTTGTGTTCATCATTCAGGATGTGGACTTTGAAGGTGCGGGGCTGGACCTCTTTGGAGTTATAATCAGCAGGAAGATTTTCAGGTGCTGGGAGCCACATGTTGAATTCTGCTAGCCAGTTTTGGAGTGTATTCACCTGAAAAAAGTTACCCATGGAAGGATTAAAAACCCAACTGAGGCACTCAGGATTTTAAGAGTAAAAATGAGAATAGGGAATGACACCCAGCTGTGCCCAGACAGGAGCAGACCACAGCATGCAAACTCAGGGACACAGGGGATGAAAGAGGGAGAAGAGCAGCAAGGGTGTGACAGAGCTTGTCATGAGATGGGACAAATAATTGATCTTCTCTATGCTAAGAAAGAAGCAGGGCAAAGAAGCCCCTCAGCCAGCCCTTCACATGGCTACTTACAGGTACAATGGCAAGAACAGTCTTTGCCTCTGTGTGCCGAAAAAGTACATCCAAGAAAGAGATGACCTGTATTGTCTTCCCCAGGCCCATGCTATGTGCTAAAATGCACCCAAACCCACTGCTGGTTTTAAATCTCTCCAAAGACTCAATCAAGTTGTCATACAGGAATCGGATCCCACCAATCTAGAGAGAAAAGTATAAAAGGTATTAGAATTGTGGGAGGAAAAAAACCAAGGTGGGTATGAATTTAGAGTGGTAAGCACATCAGGATTGCATAAACCATGAAGATCTAAAGGGGATGTTTCAAGTTCATTACAGTTCTCTAATCTAGGGAGAGCTCAGTATTTTTAGATACTCATAAAACTTCCTGAGAATATAACAAAAAATCAAAATTCACCTGTAGCCAGAGAATCTGAATTGGGGTTGATTAGTTTGAGTATAAATATAACTCTATTTTTAAAGTATTCATCTAAATCTGCAAAGGTCTGATGATAACAATAGCCCTGGCCTTCCTTTAATTTGTCCTTACCATTTGCCTGTCCACAACAGCCACCACCACAACCGGAGTGGTCACAGAGCTCACCAAAGAAGTTCTGTTGAGATTACAATTACCTGAATTCATTGCATTTTCAAGACTATTAAAGCCTACCTGATGAGGTTTTACTGCATGTGCAAGCTGGGGAGCTAGGAAAATGTCCTCCTCATTTGGTGGATGGTTGATATTGACAATGACTTGCCCTAGAGCATCTGACTGATTTAAGGCATCATTCACATGAGAACCACTGCTCTCTTCACTGCCATCCTCCTCCCCTTCGTTGCCAGAGTCACTGCTGTCCACAATTTGAAGGGCATCATCCTCTCCTGAACTCAGCTCAATCACTTCTGTAATGTAATCAAAACAGGAGAGAATAAGGGTAAAGGTTAACTTGCCATCAGGATTATCATGCTGACGAGACAATAAAAAAAATCATATCAGGAAAATAAGGCTACCATCTTTCATAGTTCCACACTCGCCTAATGACCTCTTCTGAACACGTAGGCACAACACAGGCACACATCAGGCTCCTCAGACCGGCATGTAAAAGCATGAGTTTCCATGAGTTTCCCCATGTGTCTGAGAACGTTACCCTGAGCTGATCCAAACAGAACATGAGAGTTTCTGTAAGTCTCCTCCACATGTCTTCTTAATTCCCAAAACCAGACATGCATTTTATCTGTTGATGTAATGTCTAAGGACCATCAAGGAAATCAGGCACTCTACCAGAGTGGCACAGAAGTGTCAGGTTAGATCCATACGGGACAAGGGACACAAAGACCACTTTCAGTTGCAGATCTGAATACTCTGATGCTTCTTTTATACACAGCAGATGATGCCACATCTCATACAAGCATTCTTCAGCAGAGCTCTGAGCAAAATTAAGTGCATTTATAAAGCAGAAATAAACACAAGTTTGCAAGAGTGCCTGACAGGCCATTTTATAAATGTCAAAGTCCAGAACTGGCCATTTATTTGGAAACCAATAGGCCTACAAAAATCTGCAGTGATTCACTGCTGGAGCATCTGATTAGATGAAAACAGGAGATCTGTGGCTAAATAAGCAGCATAGGGTGAGAAGAGCAGGCCAAGGCAATTGGTCACTTACCATCTTTAATGCTATTTTTTCCTTTAGCATCATCTTCACTGCCACTGCTGGTACTATCTAGGCAGATCACTTCCTCAGCCAGGACCTGAGGAGGGAGCTGGGTAGCCTCAGCTGTTCTGAAAACTATGTCCTCTACAAACATAAATTACAAACAATAAGTAATTCATAATAATGGGGAAGGAGACAAAACTGTTCAGAAACCAGACAGTATTTTCTTCCACTTTTGCTTCAATAACTTATCCCTGGAATTTTCCATAACAGACTCTCACTGTCTACAATACTGCTATGACTCAGCTTCCTGGGTCACAATCTCCTTCTTTCTCAATATGCCTAACAATAGCCCAGTGCTGAAGGCACCCTCTCTACTGCATACCCTGGATAGGGTACACCAACCATGCAACGTGCTAAAGTCCCTTTTTTTTTGGGGGGGGGGCTGTCTCAGGAGTAAAAGCTGTTCTTCCTCCAGCAGAGAAAGTACCAATTGCTGAAGGGATGATAATGGCCCTTTGTTAGTAGGGATGCTGTAATAATTACATCCCACATATCATAAACAACTTTTGCGGATCAAGACCATTTGTTTGCATGTTTAAGTGCTGCCATGTGGGGAGAGACTAGCTAACAGGACCAAATAGCACTACTGCAGTGACTCAGCAAGCAACGACGTTTTCAAGGGCTGCAACCTACTCTGCAAGAGTTAAACTGTTTTAAGTAACTCTTATTCCTTCTCTCCTACTCGTAAAAATGTTTTGAACGCTTGCACTTGAGGGAGAATATACATTTTCTTCAGAGACAAAGTCAATTCAAGAACTCCTTACCCCCACCACAACTTCCAACTGCACTTCTCTGCCCTTTACACCAGTCTTAGAGGCTGTGCTATAAAATATAGCACTGAAATCACCGGCTTATAAGACAACGCAAGATGACATATCCACCAGAAGACAAGGGTGATGCTTAACCATTTATACTCCCTACTTCACTGCTTGCTGAAACATGCAAGAAAAGACAACGTTACACCATGAACGTATGTGCACCCAGCCTATTATTCTACCATCCCTAGTACCAGATCTATGCATTATCAGATCATTCACAGCATAAGTATGACCTGGGTCAAGGTCACAGCAATTCTGTCAAGACCATTGGTTTAAGGTTCCACAGCAGTTGGAAAGGCACGAGAGACCTGTTCCAGCATCCTGCTTACATGCAATTAACTTGTCAAAATATCTTCAACAAAAGTTACCTTTCACCATACAGCCACAGCATCTTAATTCAGGACTAACCCAGAAGTGGAACCCACTTCTGAGTAACTACAGTGAACACTAACTACACTGAACACTACAACTTCTGAGTTACTACACTGAACCCACAAGTGGTTTGGAACTGCCCTTTCAAGAGTTTACACTTGAAAGTCCAAGTGCAGCATAGAGTTATAGAATGGTTTGGGTTGGAAGGGATCTTTAAAGGTCACCTAGGCTGACTCCTCCTGCAATGAGCAGGGACATCTTCAACTAGATCAGGCTGCCCAGAGCCACATCCAGCCTGGCCCTGAATGTTTCCAGGGATGGGATACCTACCACTTCTCTAGGCAACCTGTGCCAGTGTTTCATCACCCTCATCATTAAAAAGAAAAAAAACCCTTGTATCTAGCCTGAATATACCTTCTTTTAGTTTAAAAACATTACCCCATGTCTTATCATGGACAAGCACAGCACTACCTTCTTCTTCTATCCCTATGAATCTTGCTTCAGGCGACATCTCCCACTGCTTACCAGGAAGAAACTCAAGGGGTACGGTTGGTATAGTGGCTGGATAATCCTTCCGCTGCTGCTCTAGCCGTTTCCTTCTCTCCAACTCTTCCTGTTGGGCTGTTTTTGTCACAGCTTCCAGTTGGTCCTCACGCAACAGCTTTCTGAACACAGGAGCAGAAAACCGTGATTTAGTTACACTCAGTTTCTTCCAGAAACATGAATGGCTGTACTGCTGGCTCAAAAGATGATTGACAAGCTGAAGATAGTCTGTCAGCTACACAGACTAGCAACATCATCTCCAAATTCTATAGACAAATTCTACAGCTATTTCAGGCCTGTGCTTCCCAACTATAGGTAACACTACTATTAGTCAAGGAAAAGACAAAAGTTTGACAGAAGCAAAATAATGAAAGAAGGAAAACTGGGAGTAGGTAAGAATATCCTTAAACTAGGTTATCACTGACAAGTTCGTCCACCTGAAAGGATGTTATTTATTGCTATGCAGTTTATAAAGAGAAAACGCACAAAGTCATGCAAAGAAGTTACAAAAGGCATCAATTCACTCACAAAAAAGTCATCACCCCGATTCTCCCCTTAAAGGCTATTTTCAGGAACTAGGAATTCTAATGGCTTTAGCAATTGTTTCAAAGGATGCTTGCAAAACATCTTAATTTTACAGGTAATTCTCATTACTTCCAAAAGTTGCTCCCCTCTTCAGTTTCACACGTGCTGCCTAGAAGTGAAGGTTCTTTTGCCAGAGGAGGGGTGCAGTAGAAGGAGTGCTAAAATGCAGCTCCCTGAAACTAACCTTTAAATCCACCCAACCCACTTTCCAAGGCCTAGTCAATGCTCATTTCTTTGGCTGTAAGAAAATCACCCTGCACAAGGTTAAGTATGAACCAAAGACCACCAGGGCATTACATACAGGGCAAAAGAGCTACTTGCTGCCACAGGAGTTCCTGCTCCATTGTGACTTCTTTAAGCATTTTAGATCCCCTTGAACAGAATTTCAAAGGGAATTACCACTTCACAACCTGTCCCAGGATATATGTGGTGACTTATGCAATCAATTACTGCCTTATAAAATCCAGGTGAAATTGATTTCCAACATTTCAGTCACAGCATCCTGCCAACAATTTACCAAGATAGTAGAGAGGAGGACTATATTTTAGGCTATTTGCAATAGGATCCTCATCAGCAAATATCTGAAACTGGATATTTACTTAATGGTGGTGCTGTTTTTCAACTGCATGTTTTAAAAGCCAGCCGCAAATACACCATTTTTGCAATATATATTCCATATCCAAATATTCACTCTTCTGAAATACCAAACAAGTCTGCACCCACACGCAGCACTCCAGTCTGAGAACATACTACTCCCACTAGTGAAATCCTAAGGTTTTGGAAAAGAAAGCCATCTGGTTTTCCAGCAGTGGAAGCAAAGTCCAGAGATTTTGTTTTTACCCAAAGGGCTATAATAGGACCCTAGTTCCTTCTATTATCCTCTGTCTACCTTATGTTCCTCCGCATGTGAGACGGTTTCTGAGCCCTCTTCTTTTTGGTGTCCTCAGAGGCCAGGCTCTTGTGCTGGTTCTGCAAGTGTCTCTCTGCCCGCTCACTCTGAGATGAGGTAGTTGAAGTAGAGCGCTGCCATTCTCCATCCTCTGTGTGTTCAACATGGTCACTGCTGAACACAGCTTCCTGGGGTTGGTCTGAAAAGACAAGGAGGTAATAACATGAGAACAACTTTGCCAGGCTGGCTTTTACCTGAGCGTTTGTCAGTATTTGAGCTGAATGGAAACCAACAATCCCTACTCACACTCATTTGCAAGCATGTTTCTCTCAAGGTGCAAACTGGGGTTGTCTCCGACAGCCAGTCAAGTTTCACAGTGAAGGGTCTGCTCCCAGTGAAAGCCAAGACTAACACACAACCCAAAAGCATCCCGACAAGAAAACAAGGCAAAATTATTTCAGTCCATGCAGAGCACTTGCTGCCCCAAAGGTCTGTTTTCCTACACGGGCCTGATGAGCTCTGATGAAAACAACTCCAATCTCTTTCTTTGTTACACAAAGAAAGGTGGAAATTTCCATTTATATGACACCTGTAACCACCTTCCAAGTTAACAGGACACACCATGCAAGAGGTTATGTCGCTCAAACACTGGGCCATGGCTTAGCAGCCCACTCTGTGGTTTTATCACCAGGCTTCACTCATGAGTTAAACGGTAACATCTAGCAAGCTTTTTTAAAACCAAAAAGTAAGTGGCAATACCCTTTCTGCATTATAAATCACACACATTCCTTTTTATCTGCATTTGACTGTTTTCAGACTTCCATTAATGGCTGATTTCAGTCTTAAGCACTATGTGAAATGACACCTTGTTCTATGTGACATTTTGCTCTTCAACAGGCTGGCAGTGACCAAACTGATACTTGCAGAACACAGAAAGAAGACGTTTCTTATCAAAAGCTTCCCTTGAAGTAAACTGGTTTTGACAAGCATTAGAATAGCTTCTTCAGAGCATCCTGTCCCCTTGCGTCAGGCAAAGAGAGACCCTGACCCTCATCTCATAACCAGCTTTCTTGCTTATACAGTGTATCCGTGCTAATGACTGAACTGGACTGACACTTAGAATTATGAAGGAAAGACAACTTTAGTGCAGAAGAATGTAGCAGATGAAGTAATACAGAACCAACAAAATTCACATTGTGACTCTGGGATGTGGAGGCAAAGAACTGAGAGCTTAAACGAAGGATGCTTCAGTATAGCACATTCCACATACAGGCATCTCTACAGCTGCCATGTTAATGTGCCTATTAAATTAACCTTACCACTGGTATCACCTCTTAAAATCGAGATGACAAGAACTAGATCCACACCTCAGTCAAAAGTACCAATTTTGCAAGCTTCCTCTCCAGACATGCCACCAGACCTGCCCCAGCATTTACTCACAGTCTATCAGAATTTCTTTAGGACTTCAGGGCTCATCCCACCATGGATCAGTACCAGCAGAGCAGCTCAAACATTTCTGCAAACATCAGCCCCAGCAAGTCCTACATATACTGGAAAAACAGGTATCCACAACTTATGGGATGGAACAGATCTCAGGATGAATGCAAGAAAGAATTACGCTGCATGTGAAGCTAAAGGCAAAAGGGTTTGCTGCTACAACCATGATAGTTCTGCTGCCACAGCCAAGGTCTTGGAGCCCTGTCCTCCCACCACGCCTTCTTAAACTTCCAAGCTCAGATAGGACACATCACATTCACTTCCAGAGAGAGAACTGTGCTGGGAATAAACCCAGTTTCCCAGGCTTCCCAGACAAGAGCTCTGCTATTCGAGCTATGGACAAGTTTCAGTCACACTACCTGCAATTCTTGGACACCGTTTCCTTCCCCCTGGCCCTCTCGACTCCTGCTTATATAACTAGATCAAAAGACTGGATGAAATAGGGCAAAGGGAAGCAGGGAGGCTGCACACGTGACCACACGCTCTGGGATGAGTCATTAAACCGGAGACAAACACTGCCATGGTTACACTGCTGCCATCTCACCCCAGGCCCAGGGGACCTTGACAAGGCATCGGAGAGCACAAAGTCATGCTTGTTTGGAAGAGGAAGCACTTTTCTCCCCACACCCCAGCAATTATCCACGTCACCTCCTTTGGCAGTGACTCTGCCACCCGTTCCGCCATGCCAGGAAAGGGTGCCTTCGGGATGGGGGTGATGCTAACAAAACCCAAGGGCTCAGCAGCCTAAAAGTGAAGCCATTACAAGTCTCCTCTCTATGTTTTCCTATTTGTCCAATTCCTATGTAGATCTTTCCACCTCTGCATTTTACCTTTTCTTTCCTCTTAATCATACGTAATGCAAGCTCTGGTGAAACCTTTGCACAGCTGGATCAGACAGGGTTTTTTTTAAATATGACTTATGTGACCAGGAGCCTGAAGCCCAAAATCTGATGATAAATTGGGTCCTGCACTGAGTACAAGCTCTCAACTGCCACAGCCATGTCTGCTCAGGCTGGTGTTTGTCCTGTCAATACAAGTTCTGAGGTGAGGAACACAACCTGTACCTCAGCCCACATTCCTGACACATACACATCTAGACACTGAGATCTCTTCCAAACTAGTGACAGAGCCGAATGCCACACTGATTGAGGTGCAGCAATCAGCACAGAGGACAGCCCGCTTCCTGAGGCTGGGCTCATCCTTGCCACTATAATGAATAAAGCCACTTTCAACAAAGCTTAGTAACACAGTGATAAAATCACAAGTTTAACCATGCAAGAGCTCCCACCACACCTGTGACACAAGCTGGCAGTGCCTAACTGGAATGGTTTGGTTGATGTTTTGTACTAAACTCCTGATTGTGTACACAGCCTGTGAACAGCGAGGCTCCCTGCTGCAGCCGTGTGGCTGAGCTCCAGCACGGTGAGCTCCAAGCTGTGTAACTGGGACCCACACTGGGACAGGAACACAACAGGAAGCAATAAATACATACACAAAAACCTATTTTGTGCAAGACAAAGTTGCAGTTGGGTTGGAGTGAGTGTGGGAACAGCCTCGTTGAACAGGTCCCATCAGGTAATCAATGGAATAATACCTGCCCCAATTTTGCCAAGACTAAATCTGCAAGAGAAATGCAATTATGGTTTTGTAACAGGAGCTCAACAGGTTACTCTGACATGGCTATACAAGTAGCTTTTTACACAATACACAAACTCATCAATTCATCAGCCATGTTTGCATGTTGACAACTGCCTGATCATGCTCATGCTGTTAGTGTACTCTAGGAAGATGCAAGCAGTTACCCACACTGCCTGAATGAGAAAAGCATTGCCACCACCCAGCACAGCCTTGCGCAGGGAGATCAGCCACATATGCCCAAGCACAGCTGGGTGAAAGAGTGGCCCAAATCTGCTCAGCAGGAAACAGCCATGGGTCAGTTGTGGTGGCCGATGAGGATGTAAACCCATCCATGCTTACACACTGTGGGCACTGAGAATCAGCTGGAACGCAAACAACTGCTGGGTTCACACCAGTTCTGTTGCATGTTTTGCACTGTGCTCATCAGAAGAGGTACCAGATCTACAAGGAGGGTTTCCTGAGGGCAGTGGTGATAACAGCAATGCAGACAGTAAGCTTCAAGAAGCTTATACAGGTGGGTTACAGCTCTCCATTTGAGAGGTCCCCAAGCAGTTCCCACTGTGCAGGTCCTGGGTTAGACACTGCAAACACCCAGGCACTCTATCCTGCAAGGCATCCTGAATTCCAAGAGGGGCACAACTATTCTATCATGCACTTTAAAAGTTTATATGTGCCTGCACTATCAAAACCCAACAGACGTGATTGCAGCACGGTTCTGGTTTGTGCTGCAGACCAGGGGTTGCCAGTTTTCTTTGCTCAATAAGCAGCAGCAACCACCACCCCCAGCTGTACATACAAGCAGGGGGAGGTGTTTGGCTTCTCGACCAACACTTGTGTATTACGCTTTAGAAGTCTCTGTAAGGAATAGAGTCGTGACTGCTCTCATTCTGCTCTGCTTTTGATGCTCCCTATGTGGTGTGACTGCTGGAGCTGCCCCTAAACACTGCACACAGGTGTGACTCATGATGCCTGACAGAGCTAATGATTTGTCCCACAGTTGGGCACTTTCTAGTGCACCCACACTTATAAAACTCACCTCATCACCTCCTTGCAGAATACTCTCAAACTTCCCTTAAAACAGCATGGGAAGCAGCCTGGAGAATATTCTCTAGCATGTTCGATTCAGCAATGAATTGCTCTTGACACACACAGCCTTTGCTCTGTGAAGGGGCACGGGTTGCTGTGAAGTGTCACGAAGCAGCAGGTATGTTTATTTGAGGTGTGAGATTTCTTTAACTAACACAGTCGCCTGACACCAAGGTGTGTGAGAAACGGTGTTATAGTTGCATCCAGTCTCCAAACTCTAAGGCAAGCCTTGGTAAGTCCATGTGTTTGTGCACACGCAAGTGGACATCCACAGCTCAGCTCCAGAAGCAGTCCAGCACTCCTAGAGGTATAGAAATTGCCATTCAGGGTAAGGCCTGAAGGTCCCCTACCTGAGGCTGTTACTCAAGAAGGTCCAAGAGACCCCTCATTGGACAAAACACTGTGTAAGATGATTACTTCCTTACCTCTCAGTTACTAGCTAGCTAATGTGGCTAGCTAGGAAGTACACCATCCTCCTGGGAGGCCAACTTCTCTGCTAGAGTAACATCAGCATCTCCAGGGAAGGCACACCACTAAAAAGCAGACACTTGTTTATTTCTAAAATCATTTCACTATGGAAACTCAGGGTACTGAACAGCACTATTTGGCTGAGCCTTTGGGAATTATTTCCTATCCTAAGGACAGAGGTGTGTACACCTGGTGGGGAAGGTAGCTGCACGAAGAGCAGCGGGAGTTAATTCTTACTTTGGGAGCCGTCTTTTGTACTGCACAATGAGCAAGGAGCAGTTAAATATTATTGCAGGCGTTCTGGGAACTTCCATGCACTTTGTGGGCAAAGGCTTGTCAGAGACTAGCTAGTACTAGCTGGTACTACTGCAGCCGGTCCTGAGCTGTCAAAGCAAGAATGGGAGGAGCAGTGAGGGACTGCACAAGCAAGACTAATTGCACAGCTCCAGCTGCAACACTCGCAGCCACTGACACACTGAACTACAACTGTGCCAAAGGCTAGAGAAGGAA